AGCTGCCCGCGCCCTGGCCACCTTCGCCGTCTGGCCAGGCAAGAAGAGGTGACCAGCCAGACGTCCAGAAGGACCAGCACCCGGCTGAGACAGCGCCCGGGACCAGACACCGAGGAGAGAATATAAGAAACAGAGCAAAACCAGAAACGCTTTCCCCAGGATCTTGGCTCTTGCTTTCTGCCGTCTGCCACTTAAAAATTTGCTGAGCTAGAGCTGAAATCCACCCTTCACCTTTGATGGTCCAGAGGCTATTGCCTTCCCTTCCCTAAGCACCTCGTTCCTCTTTGAACCTACGCCTACTTTTGGCCTCCCAAACAGCCCAGCTCCACAGCTTCGTCACGACCTGCGTTTCAAACCTGCTGCCCAGAAATTTCATTTCCTCCCCCTGGCTCCTGCGTTACGAGAAACAGTGAACTGTTTGCTACGGACCGTTCCTGGTTTTAAACGCGTCTGCCATCATCGCCGTCGAGCGTCGTCTTCTCTCAGTTAAAGAAATCCCTATCATCACTCAAGGCAGAGACGGTTGCCCCGCTCTCCGGGTACCTGTCCTCGCTTGCTGTCGCCTTCTCGAAACGCTATGGCCAGCATCGAACGCAGCGTCTGAAATGTCAGCTCCCATAAATTTGTTTTAAAATGGTATTTTACTGTTAGGCATGTTGTCGTCTGGGCCGGGTGACAAAACTGGTGAGCTTTTCTGGTGAATTTGGCCAGCTTGGTCGTTTCAGCCCCAGCAAAGCGAATGGCCACGCTGCCAAAAGAGGCCGTTCCCACCGGCGCTGCCGACCGCGTTTTTCACCCCCTTCATGCTTTTCATGACACTTGTACCAACGTAAGACGCACACTAAATTAAGTGCATAAATCATAACCCGTTTGCTATGAAATTCTCCCTAGCGTGTTTTGGTATTTCTTCTCATTGCATTTAGCCATAGTGAGTCCTGTCATACTTCAAAATTAAGAGATATTGGGCATCCAGGCACAGTAATATTTTTAGCATTTAGAAGCACTAAAACGATTCTGAACAAGACATACTCTAAGCCAAAAAGATTGAAATGGATTCCTTCCATCTCTCTGGGAATACACCTCAGGCGTCCACATGAACACAAGAGTATGGCGCCAAAGCGAGCGAGGGGACACGCCGCCCTGCAAAACCTCCCGCCAGGGCGTCTTCTTCTGCAAAGAGCACCCGCTACCATCTTCTTTTTTCCCCTCCTCTTCCCAACTCTTCATTGATTTCAATTGATTTAGCCTGCCTTCAAGGCTCAAGTCCAGCAGATCTGGGACACTTTTCCCCTTAAATAACCCTTGTTCACAAAGCGGATCATGCCCTGGGGCCTGCTGGCTTCTACCCACGTTACAGAAAGCCTCCAGACACGTTTCGCCAGTGCTGCCTGGGTGTTTTTAAAGTGCGTACACGTACACATACCTTTCACTTCCAGTTTCTCAAACTACAGCTGTCCAAGTACCGGGCGCTGCCTTAACCACGTGGGAGCATCCGAGTAATCGGAAGCTGAGCAATCACAAACCACCCGCCCAGCCGGCTCCATCCTGAAAAGCTCGAGCCCCAGCAAACTGTGCCTGGAGGAAAGGAGGGCAACGAGGGTCCTGCTGGATGGCAGCACACAAAACTGGCTTTGCCAATGGCAAGAAGTGTTGCTTGTCGACAGGTCGTTACCCTGCACGTTTAATTAAATACCCCTTCTTATAAAGGCTTTCTGTATCGTGCCGTCTTTAAATTAGACCTGTGGATAGCGGAAGGAAGGTCTGGGGTGCGAGCAGGCCGCGCTGGAAGAGAAGAGCGCTGCAATAAGCCTAGAAGAGCTTGCTCAGCTCACAAAAAAACACAGAAAAGTGGAGCCAGAAGAGGCAAGTAACGAGGACTCCTGAAAAAAAAATCCTTCGCCCCTGAGAGCTTCTTCACAGCCCGCTCTTCTGCATCAGTCGCCTCTCTCCTGGGTATGATATATGTGAAAATACAATATTTCATAGCCCTTTCTATTAATTATGGAAAATAAGCATACTTAAAATTATTCACACCAGCTTCAATAATCATCCATCAGCTTCAACAGAAACGAAGCACGTTTTATTCCACCACGACTACGGGATTTGATGGATGCAGACCATTTCGCTCTCTCTGTTTTCTAAGCCAAGGAAATGGAGCCAAGCGAACGGAGCGATTTGCCAGGGGTGATGGATGGAGCGCGGGCTACGGCAAAGCGGGGAGCGAGACGCCGTGGCGGCGAGGAAAGCCCGGCGCGGGCACAGTTCCGGAATAGCTCATTAGTTATGTTTTTCGGTGACTTGGTGAGACAGCGCTAAAAACTCAGTCTTTGGTGAGCTTGGGCACTGGCTGTTCCCTACGGACGTGTTTCCTCCCTAATCTATTTGGCAGTTTGCTCAGCTTACGCACGTTTCTTCCTGGGCAGCAGCAAGTAGAGGTGAACAGCTCGCTCTATTTCGTCCAATATATTTCTGACTCAATAGCAACCAGATTCAGTCATCAGCAATGTATACATAAAACAAAGTGTTTTCTAGGATAATCTCCTGCAGAGGAAACTCGCTTTGAAACACCAGACCGTAGCTGCTTTATGGAAACACAGCGTGGCTATGAGTTTGTATTACTTACGTGTTTCAGCTGCATAATCTCAACCTGCTGGGCTGGGGAGCCGGAGGGAAACGGGGAGATATCCACCGGGGAGGTTTGGGTCGCGTCTGTCCTTTAAGCTGCAAAGTAGCTACGGTTCGGGTGGCCCGGGAGGAGCCCGGCCGGGACGTGCGACCCAAGCGGGCCGTCAGCCAACGTGGCTGGGAACAACCCACTTTTCCTCGGCCCGCAAGCAAACAGACACCCGATGAACCTTTTTAGGTCAAAAGTTTCCGCGGGGGTGACAGGTACGCTAATCACATCTGCAACCTCTGCGGACCAAACAGCCACCCACGGCTGTCTCGGATGTCCGCGCTAGCCCGGAGGTATTAGCAGCACTCGTTAGCACAGCGCTGACTTTGAAAAATGACTGCCGAGAGCTGGCGGTGCCGGCTCGCCAGCCGGTGTCCTTGTAGCGCACCCGAGTAAATGAGTTTTCACTGAAGCTTCGGAAAGAAAGGGTAAGTATTCCCACCTGAATTTGAAAGGCACAGTTCCATACGGTCAGGCACAAACAACTAATACGGGAAGAGAAAAATCAAGTTCAAGTTTTAAGACAATAGCTAATGTGCATTTACCTTTGCTCCAGGTCGCACTAACTCCTTACAGCGCTCAAAGCATCCGGTGAAGAAAAGAGAAGCTACTAAAACCCACGAGGTGGTCGGCTCTGGTGACGGCGCGCAGACGCGAATTAGCCAGCATCAGACTTAGACTGCATTTCCTACGGTTTTAGCAATTTGCCGCTGAGCAGACGACCACGCGGTAACCCCGCAGCTCACAAGCAGCCGTACCTGTATTTCATGCCCGTCTCAGCTTTGACGGTGCTCTGCAAGGACAGGCCGTGCACGTGCAGGAACCTCTCCAGGTCCTTCCGCTCGGCGGCTCCGCTCGCCCGCCCAGCCCAGCGTGCCGCTGGCGGGCAGGGCTTGGGAGTAGCGCTTTGCTTTTTCCCTTTCAGGAGGGCTTCGCTCGGTTTCGGCAAGCCCGGCTTGTGGGGTGGGATGTCGGTGCAAGCAGGCTTGTACAGGTGCATGTTGCCCAGCGGAGACCCCCAAAGTCCACGGAGCACCGGAGCTGATGGCCCAGGGAGCCTCCCCTCTACAGCCCTTGGCAAGCAAAGCCTGCTGCCATCGTTGCCCTGTCAGCACGAGACGCTGTTGGCTCGGGTCTGTTCGCCTCGCAGCGCTGCAGGGCTCTGGAGCAGTGTTTTCCTCCCCATCTGCCTTTATGTTGCTGCAACTGGCTCATTTTAATTGATGCCCAGGATGGGCTCGGGCCAAGATCAGCAACCTTCTTCACCAACCGATGCCTATCATGGTCAAGGCCTCGGAGGGGTAGGGGCTGCCAGTGGGAATAGGACGCCAACCCTGTTTCCCAAGTCTTATATTTAGATAATGAGCAATATTTGTTTGGGATTCAATCCAAGGCCAATAAATGTAGAAAGAGGTTCTCATAGGGTTTATTTAAGGCCTTGGGCTGGACAGACAAATGCCTCAAGTATCTCTTAGGCAGGTCATTAAAAGTTCTTGTTTTCTTGAAGTCCATGGTAAACTCTCAAAAGCTGGGTTAACTGGGTGGTAAACTTTCCTACTATCAGCATCCTCTCGGGGCTTCCACAATTAATAAGGAAACCAAGACTAAGGAGCAGTCAAACACTGAGAAGAAAAAAACAAACAGACCCAAATAATCGGAAAAGAGAAATATTTGAGAGAGGAGTGGACTGCAGACACCAGGGCAGGGAAAGGAGCAGGGAAGCTCATGTTTGAGGAGGCCACGTGCTCTTGGAGGCTACCTGGGTATCTCCAGCCGCCTGGGACAGGGCTGCAGGCTGGGATTTCCATCCGGAGTGGAAAAATGCCAAGGTAGCCCCAATTCTGCCAGCTCTGGTGCTCAGTAGTCCTGCTGGCGCTGCTTTTCCTCCTTGCGAGCACCACCAGCTCTCCAGCCCCCGCAGGAGGATGTTGGGCCCTGCAGATGGCAAGAGCACGTGCCCCCAGAAGCCCTTGAGTGTCTGCAGCACCAGCATCTGGGCTGATGCAGTCAAAAACCCATGAAGGTACGTGAAAGCAAATGGCAACTGAGACACCTCCTCAACGGCAATGAGCTGTGCTGGGTCTCTGCTGCAGCAAGGGGAGGGCTGTGCTGTGCGGGGGGCTGGCCCTCAGGGCCTGGGGAAAACCAAGGGTATGGCTCAGAGGCTGGATCGCCACCTCACGCTCGAGTGTTTTGCGTGCCTGACCAGCCCAATAGGAAACGAGGGGGGAGAAAGGAGGCAGAAAAATGTTTTCCCCACCCAGAATCTTCATCAAAAGCCTTGGTAGGACCACGGGCCATGGAAGCGCATCGGTCAGTCTTCCCCCTCCGCCAGCTGTATCCGAAAGACTTGAGCGATGCTGCCGTCATCACTGCCCGCTCCAGAGCTTCCTTGGCGAGAAGGCGTGTGGCTAAACGCCCGCGAGCACCCAGGGCGTCGTGGCCCGGCACCGCGAGAGTGGAGCGAGAGCGCCCCAAGTTGTGGTGCGGTCCCACATCTGGCAGCGGCTGGATATACAGGGGGCATCGCTTAACATCACTGCAGGTCATGCAGCATGCACCACCTGGGGCAATACTCAAGAGGGCCAAAGTAACTTTTTTTAGACAAAGAGTAGTTCAGAGAGCAAGTCGTTACAACATGTGAGGTTTACCACGGAAGCAGATTTCTGAGGCTCATTACTTTAAAAACTCAACCCATTTTCTAACCCTCCTTTCAATCCCAAATACATCTGAAAGATAAATAAAATAACCAAGTGATGGACGTGTTGTGAAGTCAGCTAATCCTTAAACCTTTCAAAGCAGATAAACAAAGACTGATCTCAAAAAGAGAACATATTTAAAAAGATTATAATTCAATGCCATGGAGAGGATTTTTGGCATGGGAACGTGGATTACCCGAATATTCTTTCCCTGCAACCGTTGTGCGAGGGCCCCAAGGGCCCTAACGGGCCGTCAGGGCCCAGAGCAGCCTCCCGTGGACCCCCTGCCGCCCCCCTGCCACAAACACTTTGCTTTGCCGCCAGGAAACATTTGCAAGTTCTCAGGGTTCACGTTAAATGAAAGAAAAATGAAAGCCTGGAAGTGCGGTATATGTCATATTCGTTCTGCGGAGGTACAGCTCACCGTTAAAACCAGGTCCAAACCCTGGGGAAGAGAGTTTGAGCGTATGGCCCCATAGACCCAGAGAGCGTCACTGCCGGGATGTCGTCCCGCAATGCCAACCACTGCGCTTCAGCTTCCCGTGCCCTTCCCAGGCAATGGGAAGCTCCTAGGGCTTCTGCAGCCGATTTTCACCGTTGGACTCTACCAAAGGGAAAACTCACATCCAACTGTTGAACGAACGCACCTGGCTGTTGACACATTGGACGTGCACGCGCAGCTGAAACAGCTTAAGTCAAAAATCAAGCAAGTTCTCATTATTTTGAGGAGTAGAGTAATCAATGGCTTGCTTTGGTGATGTTAAACACCACAGGTCCTTGAACAGGAGGCTCGAGGGGATGATAATAGCCTGTTGTACAGCATCCTGCATGCCATGTTTATTCGGGGAAATAATTACTGAGTCTACTGATTCATTCCTGTTTCCTTCGTTGTACGTTGTGAGACGTTTTTACACTCAACATCTTCCTCCTCCGTCTCTCCTAGCTTTGCTCCCTCTCCCTTTTGGTTAGCCTGTCTACAGTTTTTATTCTGATGAGCGGGTTATCGATTTCTAATCCTAGCCGGGCTGCAAGATCGCAGCCTGGCCATCTCTTCAGACAATCTGCCTGCGATTAGGGAAGGTTTTGCCCCACTTCTCAGCTGAAATCCCTGCTGTGATAAATATATTTGAGTAGAGCTAGGCAAAACACTGGAAAATATCCCCTGGAAGCTTACTTCACTAAGGGTCTTACTCAGCGCTCGAGATTAGAGAGCTACACATCTAATTTGTGCTAATACCAAGATCCCTTTTTCTTTTAAAGGAGCAAGATGGGATCCCAAAGGTTTTGACGTTAAGAGCAACCAAGTCAGAGGCAATTCAGCAGCAGAGGAGCATCCCCCCCACCCCATCCGAAATGGCTTGTTCTCAAGCCGACATGCAGCTGCTTCTTCCCAGGTCCGGGGGGGAGGAAAGGGGGAAGAGAGCGGGACTGGGGGCAGCAGGGGCTGGCAAACGCTCTCGTGTCACCTGCATAACCCTTGCACAGTAGCAATTCAGGAATTTCTTCTGAACTGAAGAAAGAAAGAGAGAAGAAAGAGAGAAGAAAGAGAGAAGAAAGAGAGAAGAAAGAGAGAAGAAAGAGAGAAGAAAGAGAGAAGAAAGAGAGAAGAAATTGCAATCACCCTGACAAAACAGCTTGTGCAAAATCAGTCCAAATAATCACAGGCAGTTTTTGCTGAAGAAGTTATGGAAACTAAGGAAACAAGTAGGCAAAGTTTTCAATTCTGCAGCTTGTATTCATCACCGTCCCCAAGACATTGGAAACGTCAATGACTTGGACGCTGTCTCAACGCCGCTCCAAGAGCTTTCTCCTGGAGCTTCACTGAAAGCTTTCTGCTACTATTGCTACTATTGCTATTGCTGCTATTACGGCTGTTGCTGCTGCTGTTACTGCTATTACTGCTATTGCTAGTGCTGCTATTGGTATTGCTATTGCTAACGCTGCCGCTACGGCATCTCCTGGGGCCGGTGGTGGGGCGCCCTACCTGTGGGGCATGCCGGTGG